TGTTATTTTCTGGTAGCAAAATCTCTTTTTCACTTTATATTAAAAAGTATACCTTCTTAACATCGCTAGGAATTAGCATTCTCGAGATATTGGAATTAAAAAGATTCGATGTGATTTAAACTGTAGATGCACTTTATCAAAGCAGTTCTGCAAATAAACAGAAACAATGAAAAACGTTTTTAAAACTAGTTTTTCCCAAACTTGTCAATTAATTAGTATTAGAATTTAGATTATTGTTGAATTTCTGCAATGTTAATTCTTAATGCTCCGTCACAACAATTTTTCTAATACTCAGATGCGAGACATAATATGCGTTTATGCACAAGAAAACTTTTGTGGCAGACGTGTGGCAGATCGGACATACGTATGGTTGTACCCTGACAAAATCCAACCAAACCATCAAACTTTAAAAAATATATTTGACAGTTTAGGACAAACTAGAGAATTTCCTGTATATACACAACATAATTATATCATTCGTTGGTTATCTCACCTATGACATACTGATGAGAACTTATAATTTCGAAATCAGTATAAGCCTGGTGGTTCTACTGACAAATTATTATAGTTATTCATTAAATATTCCGACATTGCGATATTTATCCACAATATAATTTATTAGAATGTCCTGAAAATATTAAACTTAGCCATTAATGTCCTAACTCAATCCAGTAGATTAAGTGTAATCAGAAGGATCAGAAGAAAAAATGCTGGAAAGCCAATAAAATACCGACTACAAACAGCGGTAATCCCATTAAATTGCTCATTCCTGTAAGCTGTACTCAGGATTCTATTTAAAAAGTAATTATTTGTTTTTTAGGCCACTGTGTAAAACAGGTGGTACAGGGTGATCGATTTAATTGGAGAAATTAATATTTCTGGGAAACGGCTGAGAAAAATAAATTATTTTAGGAACTATTGCATTTCTGATTACTTTTACTTGAAAGTAGGGTCAAGATACAGAAATTATCTTTACGACGCTAGGCGTCGCGGCGCTTCAAAAAATTCTCCAATGCAACTAAACAGTGAAAACCAATTGCCAAAGTTTTTGCCACATATTTCTAATAGCTGTTTTACATTGACAATTTATTGATCAATTAATTCATGAAGTCGCTTCATCAAAAAATTTAACAAGTGTGCTGTCAAATAACTTCATGAATTTATTCATCAAGTTCTTGACGAATTAGAGCATGTTCTAATATTCGTCAATTTCTTCGTGAAGTTCGGAAGAACCAACCCAACAGATTTCCAGCCTCAGATCAGTAATGAGGTTATGTTATTGGGATATATAAATAATTGTGTGGCGTCGTACTAGTTTTGTATTGTTTTTACTGATTTGTTACTTACAAACACTAATATTTATATAATATGTGTCAAAACGGTACCGCTGTTGTATCACTACAATTATGAGTGGAAAGGTGACATATTTTAAATTTGTTTGCTTCTTTGATTCGTTGGTAGAACTGATTCATGCGTCAAAAAACTTGAAAAGTCTGTAGCAGTGTAAAACCACATTGTTTACCAATAAATTCGTGAATTAATTCATGAAGAACTTCGTCAATTTATTCATCAATAAATTGTCAATGTAAAACAGCTATAATAAATGTAGTAAATTCTATTCGTTGAACTTTTTTTTTTTTAATAAATGCAAGCAGGCTAGGCAAATAACAGTATTTGTTTTCATGACATATTTTCTATGAGAAGTGTCAGAATTTTGAAGGTTTTAATAATCATTATAGAGTTTATATAATTAATTTTTGAAGTGTTGTGATCGTTTATTAATAGTAGTTATTGAAAAGTATCAATAATAAAATGTTTTCCCATGGCGAAAAAGTGGATATGCTATTAATTTTCGGAGAAGCCCAGAAAAATGTATTACGGACAAGATTATACGCATTGAGAATAATAAATTATTTTTAGTTAACAGGGTGAGACAAAAAACGGTAACCGCTGATGAAAATGTGGTATTTATAATAAACTATTTTGAAAATCATCCTGAAGCATCGATTAGAAAGGCTTCGAGAGAGTTAAATTTGACATATAATGCAATTTAAAGAGTTTTAAAAATTAACAAATTTCACGATTACAAAATACATAGTGTGCAAGAGTTTTAAATCTTGGAGATTTTGAACGGCGAAAAAATTTTATTTCTCAATTCTTAGTTGCATTAGATGATAATCCTAATTTGTATAACCACATTTTGTAGACAGACGAAAGTCATTTTATTAGTCATGGCATTCCAAACCGGAAAAATACTCATCATTGATCGGACGAAAAGCCACATAGTATCGGAGAAGTTCAAAGGCAGCGTCACTTTAGTGTCAATGTATGGTGTGGAATTGTTGGGCGCCATTTAATAGGTCCATACTTTTATAATGGTGTCTTGACGGGACAAAGGTATTGCAATTTTCTTGCAAATGAAATTCCTATTCTTATAGAAAATGTGCCACTTCAAATTTCAACTGGACGGGGCGCCTTACCATAATGCTGCAGTTGTTCAAAACTATTTAAATTTGCACTTTGAAAATAAGTGGATAGGTACTAATGGTCCTTTACAATTTGCTCCGAGAGACCCAGATCTAACCCCTCTGGATTTCTTCTTGTGCGGAGCCCTAAAAAATATTGTGTATAAAACTAAAACAAACAGTATTGATCATTTAAAGCAGAAAATCACTGCTGCTTGTACTGAAATACATGGCAATATTTTAAAAAAGGTTACGTCCAGTGAACTAAGAAAACGTTACGAATTGTGTTTAAATAATAACGGTGCTCACATTGAACACCTATTAAAACATTAAGTATTGTGTTTATTTATTTCAGTTGATATTCTTTATATTGCTGTGGTCTCCCTTATATGATAGGTGGGTTTGTAATTCTTACAAATTAATGTAATTGTTGTATCAGTTGTGTTATTAAATTGTTTATAGTGAATACGTTTTTTATTGTAAATAGAACCGTAGTTATTGATATATTGAACCAGCAAGGGCATTGAAAAAGATCTATATCGCTGACTACGTCGTTGCAATAATAATTATGAGATAGAGAAATTCACTAGAGAATTGCCCGTAACTTTTTAAATAATGGGAATATGTTATATAGGGAAAATATTCAAAATTAAGGGATCTTTATAGTGACATTGTTGCTGGAAAAAAATTTTTTGAAGCGTCGTTAAGATAATTTCTGTATTTCTGCCCTAACTTCTAGTAAAAGTAAGCAAAAATGAAATAGTTTCTAAAATAATTTATTTTTCTCGGCCGTTTCCCAGAAAAACTCATTTCTTCGGTTAAATCGATCACCCTGTACATAAAGTAATGCACAATAACTCCCAATGTTTTCCAATATTTATGGACTTCTAATAGCTTTTCTTCTACACGTTCGATGTTTGTTTTCTTAATGGTGTAATAAGTACCACTTTTTCTCATAAGTGGCATTCTAGCACTACGGTTTTTACTCGGGTTTTTACACGTAATTAAGATAATAATTGTGAAAGGGAACTTAAACACCTCACTACTTCATACCAAACGATATTTGTTAAACAATTTAAATTGCGGTCTGTCCTCTATTCTCAATTAGTTTTTGATCTGATTTCAATTTCAACAACTGAGATAATAAATAAAGCTTCATTCACGAATCTAAATCTAAGTTTGATAAACCAAATAGGTACCTACAAAAATATACCTACACGCGTATGTTTTTTAGTTAAAATATGTTCAAATGTTCAAGTTTTAAAATATTACATAAATCGGAGAGCAATTCGTAGGAACTTCTAGCGAACCGCTATAAAAGATAGCCCATAAAAGAGACAGCTAATTAAAACAAGGTAAGCCGGGGTATTGGAGTCGGCCAGGAGCGTAACAATGAAAGGTGAAGAGGAAATCGATAAAATGCTTGTTGTAAATCGTTAAGCAAGAGTGGTCACAATTCTTCCTCTGTTTTTGACCGGTTATATGCCACTCAAAGTGTAACAAGGAAGTTTCAACAGACTTTGGAGTCACATTAAAATAGGTAATTGTGAAAAATATTATTTAAAAGCTTGAAAATTTTGAGTAACACAACTGATATCCACTTATTACATCTCTAGACGACAGTGTTCATAAAATAATGACGATTGCAATTTGCCTATATAAAAAATAAGTTCCCTGAAGAATGATAATACCCTCCTGGTTCAACTCGATAAAATTAACAGTTTAGGAAATTTTAAGTGAAGTAATCCACAACATGGCGCAATAATAAGGATCGACGGTTGCGGTTTCAGATTTACTCTTTCCGCTTTCCTGTAATATCCGCCAACTATCACTTCAGTAGTTACATACCCTTTAGAAGAAACTCTATTTATTGAACTTACGCACGCCTCTGTATGCGAAACCGAAATCGCAAGCCGTTCCTGTTCTGTCAAAATTCGATGCACATGATCGGGTTTGAAACGAAACGGGCGATAATTCACCAACCAGCGTCCCTCCTCGAGTTTTTTTAACAGGGTTAATTCAATTCCCATTTACATTCCGAGATGGTTCAGATGAACTCAACGATTAGATCCATATCGACAACAAATTACTACCTACCGGCATATATCTATACATCGAGATGTGTTATTATACCGTGTAAAATTCGAGATGGCATCTCAACACTCTGTTTAGAAGAGGATAACACAATTATCGGGGTGTTGTAGACACGTAAATTGAGTTTCGGTAGCGGAATGTTTAAAATGGTAGGTTTGTATTGGGATATGCACCAAATGCTTAAAAGATGGTTTGATATATAGCTCATAAGACAAAAATTCTTATTTTTTGTCGTACTATCACCCCCCGACTTACGGAAGGTCTTTCTGAAACACCCTGTATATATTATATGAATAGTAGCACAAGTTAACCATAAATAATTGACACATTTCGACACTTAAAGCATTTAAAAATTTTTAATTGAAGAAAACTATGACTTCTCTGAATTATATTCTAAGTCACTTACCTCCATCAATGGAACTTTGAAGGGAACCATTTTTGTTCCAGCGACTTGTTCTCCCATAGCTTGATATTTCAACCATCTGTAAAATAATACATATTTATCAAAACCACTTATACCACTGCCAGCACATACAGTTTCGTTTTTTTCCCAATTAACATTTAGGAAACAAACAAAATTTACATCCACGTTATTAAAAACAGGCTTTTAATATAAAATATATTTTTTTAAGTCACCCTAATTCAGAAACCGTCTCTCTAAAAAAAATATTTATATTACTTAACCAATTTTTGCATAAAATTATAGCAGTTGGTCCATGGCTTCGAATTAAAAGCTAATAAAAAAAATTACTAATCCTTCCAAACCCCTAATACCCAGCTCCTACCCCCACGAGACATTATAAACTTTAAATGTATTTTTAAATAAAAGAAAATTAATAACGAGAAGTGACGAGAACCAAATCAATTTTCAAAATGTAGTAATGTGTAAATTGGTTGGTGTGCCATCTGCTAGCCAAGTAGCAAAGTAATTCGACAGATCCTTGACCATAGACACAAACAATTACAAGTAACTGTCTCGAATAACAATAATATCATCTGTCACTAGATGTCAGCAAATCGAAAAAGAATATACCTAGTGTATTATGCAGTCCTTCAGTACCTCTATACTGAAATATGGGTTTACTTTAGGAAGGAAATATTAGTAAATATAGCAGATTTCAAACACATATTTCAATAACAGTAAAAATTGTGATAATCTTGAGCAATGCATAAAGTTCAGTCCAATCTATCATCCTTCACCGCTAGATGTCGCTGAAATTGATTACTTATAGTCTTAATTTTTAATAAAAACATTTTATAATTCCAAATTAATTTAGCTGATTTGTTATAAAGAATACAGTATATGTATAGTTACTGATTACTTATTAATTTACTCTAAAATGTACTACATAGGTATACGAAATAAATTTTGCATAGGTACCGAAGAACACGACTTTATCGATGTAGCTAATGCCATCAGCAAACAATAAAAGTAAAACGTATTTGATGGAAATTTAGAAAAGAATAATATAATTTACTATTCTTATTTCCCAATGTTTTTCATATCACATCTTTCTAAGAAGACATTCATTCCTGCCATAGCAGAAACCATCTAATATTTTTAGAAATGGTACTCACCCTTTTGGAATTGCCCTCATTTTCTCAAGAATGACTTGAAAAGTAGATATTCACGAAACACTCACTAAAATTTCACGAGGTAAATTACTTATTAATTACGATAATATATAATTTGTTGTATTTTGCATATAAACCAAAAATACGGTGTGATGGAACGCAACTAAAGAATTGACATACGCGCAGTTTTCTGACCTAACCTAGAAAGTACAGAGAATCGTGAAAATGTCGGCGTAAGAAAACGTTAAAGTTAAAATAAATAACGTATATTCTGTAGATTCAAAAGATGTAATCACACCGATTTTATTGCCTTTTCAACGGATATGATTTTTTTTAATTTGAGGCATAAATATTTACTAAAGAACTATCTGGAACAAGTACTCAAAGGTAAACTGTCATCAATTTACTCTGTAAAAAATTATGATTTTGGAATTCTTATAAATTCTGGGAATAAAGGGGGAATTTAATGAAACAACAATAGGCTATACAAATAATATATTCCTAAAATATTAATAACATACAAACTTAACTAGAAAATAATTTAATATCAATAACATAAATATACCAAAAACAACTTACAAAAATTAAAAACTCTCAGATTTTAAATACAAAAATAGTTTTAACACCTTCCGTGAACTTAACAATCTACCAACGAAGCCACCCTAGTAAAATCCAACTAGAACCCTGCCTCGTCGGTCCTTCAACGTAAATCTACACAGACAGAACCTGTGTATATATCTTCTCGAATCTTAAATATGTTTTAATTATGCATATATACTTATACAGTGGTCAATATATATATATTTTATTAAATAATTACATTGTTATATAGCAACCAGTTTTTTGTGCTTGATAACTTGCGTAAACTAAAATCTAAGACACAGCCCTCGCTCAAGAATTATCAACTACCTAATGGTACAGACATAAAATCTAAACTTCAAAAACATAAACAATTAACACATATGATTTTAAAACAAATAATAGGGAGAAGATGGGATTTATCCAAAATATACGATGCTGCTGCATGCTCCTCTGTATCGAATATAATTTAATTTAATTGACGATTCAGATAAATTTCATTTCTCCAAATATAATAATTTTTTTTAAATATAGTACGAGCCTTTATATGAACATGAAAAGTATGAAATGGGCTTTACCTAAGGATATGTAGCATTCCTTGAAAATGTGGTATTTATTGTAATATAATTTTAAGAACATAAACCAATGACAATTCAACAAAAATTTATAGAAAAAATAATTTGGACAGTTTACATGCTCAGATACTTTAGACGAGCTGAAAATGTTAGTTTTACTCATATTTTGCTTAATATGAATTATATCAGGCAGGCATGGCACAAATTTGCAAAAAAATACAAAATAACATTTTAACTAAGTATTAAAAAAAGTTCCTATATTAGTTTGAGCAAGGTTATTAATCTACTACCTATATTTTATCATAAATCAATCTAAAGCAAACCATGATTTTAAAAAAATACACTAGTAATAAACTATTCTAAAACATCATTCATACGTCTCCCTTTCGCATTTCTATATCACTTAATATATAGAATACAGCATGAATTTACAATATGAAATAATTCAAATATCCAAGAAATCTATTCCTGGTATTCATGTGCTTTAAACCTCCAAAGAATTTGTATAATTCCGTACAAAACTCTCTTATATAAATATTCTAGGGAAGCTTGTCTAACGACGATAGTGGATGCTTTTGTATAGGAAGTAGATCTGCATAAAAAATATGGATTTTAATATGATGGCAATATTAAATAATTTATCACAGGTACCATAACTAGAGTTTTACAATTATTCTAAAGTCAATTTAGAATATAAACGATAACCTTGCAACAACAATAAAGTTGGTAAAACCTATAATAGAACTAATAAATTTTTCAATCACTTATTTTATCACAGCCTATATTAAATAGATAAAAAATAATAAATAACCATCTTGGATGTTACTTTTTAAATTTGTATTACCTAAGTGATTTAAAATCAAATCAAAGTTTATGTATGTACTCAGTGACAAATTATGGCTTAAAGTGTCAATTTGGCGCCCAACATGGGGCAAAATTAGAAAATAAATAAGAGTTTATATCCTCTATTGCTCCTTAAAGGCAGATCAATCTCCTGTAAAACATCACCACTAAACTCTCAACATTATTTTTTTTATTCATATTTTGGATAAAATATTTTATAAATAATAACCAAATTGATTTTACTATAATGAAAAACAGTAAAGCATACTTTTATCACATTCTGAACACAATCACTTTCGAATTAAGTTGTACTTCAAATACCTCATCACTCGACTGACCGAAAAGATTCACTTAATATGTATTTTGCAAAGCAAAACTCCCTCGACTACATACTATTTACAAACTTAATCCTGCTAATTGCAACAAGAGCAATAAAATTATCATTTGATGTTAAAATTCCATGTTACAGCTTCAGTTATTCTCAACTGTAGTGCTTATTTTATTAGTAAAGCGACATTATGTAGACATGTATAAAGTTTTTATATGTACAATATTTACAAGTTCGTTCATATTTTAAGTAGAAATGAAAATTAAAAAAGAGTGCATCAAGTGGTTCTTAACATTACCTTGAATTGTGTAACTTTTTTGATGCTGTGTTCAAACTTTGAAATAGTTAAAGATTAAAAGATTTATTTATTAACTGAACCATATACCATTTAACAAATTCAATTTCCAACTCTTATCAATTTCACAGCCGAAGTCATACACTTCATGACAAAAATGAGCCACGCTGTATAAGGGAATTATTGCTATGAGTTGTAGAAACAAAGGAGCACTCAATTGGACTTAATTACTGGATTAAAAATGGGTATCCACAATATAAATTTGATGTTTTTCATATAAACGTCTTTCATTAATGCTTCTGAAAGATACACCTTAGAAACAAAATGAAAAATCATAAATGTCTGCAACACTTATCGATTTTTGTCAGAATGTTAACTTAAAGCAGGAAGAAACTTTGTATAATATTTGGCTGTTAGGTAGAACTTTAGCATCAACAAAATGGTTTTACAAACTAATAATTTATTTTTAATAAACCAATTAAACTGTTGGAAAACTTTTCAGCATTTTTGATTTTTACTTGTCGTAAACTCTAAGGGTAAAATATTAATAGGGCTCTATAGCAAATAGGCAACCCGCAGTACATTTTTATAAATTTTATTATACACTTTGTCTAAATATGAATTAATGCACAAATAACAAACTTTCCCTCAATTTAACGCAGATTTTTTATAAAATGGACTTGGTTTGAAACTCAATTTACTTTTTGGTGTAAAGAAATTTGTAATTTACGATGCCGCCTGTTCAAAAGCGGCAAATTACAAATTTCTTTACAACAAAAAGTAATCCGAGTTTCAAACTAACTCCATTTTATAGAAAATCTGCGTTAGAATGGAGAAAAGTCTGTTATTTGTGCATTAATTCATATTCAAACTGTTTAATAAAATCTATAAAAATTTATTGTTGGCTGGCTATTTGCTATAGAGCCCTCTTAATAAACAAATTTTGCCGGTATATTCCAACTCTATTGTTAGGTATTGTTATTTTTTTCTTTATTTTTGGGTACTTTTGTCACCTGTATGTCCCCCCTTGTGCCAAAAGGATCCGTCAAGGGTTACTTTTATGAAAATATTTTTGCCTAACCAAAAAATCTCACATTGAAGAAAGCAGACAAATACAAAAACACATCACTTTATATTTCGCACTTAAAAAAACTGCCAAACTCAAAAAAAAACAAAAAACGTTCAAAAGACAAAACAGATAAATTTTCAAAACGTTGACTTTTTAGTGATTTAGCATTTTGTATTCGTTTGCTGTTTTCAGTTTGATATTTTTGGTTAGGCTAAACTATTTTCATAAATATAACCCTTTCGGCACAAGGATTTATTTCACTAATTTTTGAAATTTTGAAAAAATAACCAAATTTCACTAGACTTGTTTAATGTTGATTTCATAGCCACACACAAAAAAAAAAGTTGTCTACTTTTCATGCGACATATGTTATCTGTAGTATTTTTGCCTCCTGATCACGAATCCGGTGTCAAAATTGAGCTATCATATCACAGGAATTTCCTAACCTCAAAGAACAGGTCAAAAATAGCAAAAATTCTCAAAAAAGTGCTAGGAAGTATACAAAAAAATGTTTTTTCTATATTCAAATGTTCACTGATTGATGGTTCTTTTTCTAACCACAAAAAAATTAAGGTCAGATATCACGAATTTTCAAAAAATAAGATTGGCGTCAAATTTGGTGTACGGGGGTTTTCGGGGTCGCTGAGCATGGATCCGAGGTAAATTTTGCAAAATTCAAGATGGCGGATCCAAGATGTCCGAACAAATTTTCAAAAAATAACACATTTGCGCCAAATTTGGTATACAGTGTTTTTCGGGGTCGCTGATCACGGATCCGATGTAAATTTTGCAAAATTAAAGATGGCCGGCCAAATTTTCAAAAAATAACACATTCACGTCAAATTTGGAATATGTGGGTTGTCGAGGCAAAATTGACCTCGGATCCGTGATCAGCGATCCCGAAAACCCCCGTATATCAAAATTCGTGATATCGACCCGTCTTTTTAGGTTAGAAAAAGAACCATCAATTCTGACTGCGAATTTACGTTCGGTGGGGTATTAACCAAATAAATGAACATTTGAATATAGAAAAAAAATTTTTTTGTATTTTTTATAACACTTTTTTATTGTGAATTTTTGTTATTTTTGACCTGTTTTTTGAGGTTAGGAAGTTCCTGTGATGTGTAGCTCAATTCTGGCATCGGATTCGTGATCAGGAAGCAAAAATACTACGTATAACATATGTCGCATGAAAAGTACAGATAGTCGCATAAAAAGTACAGTTTTTTGTGTGTGAAGATAATGCCGAAATTCATAAAAAAAATTATTTAGTGCTCTAAGTGCTGAATAAACTTTTAACTTTTTATATCTTAAGTATAGGTAGATTGAAAAAAATTTTAGTATTTTTTAATACTGCACCCCTAGCACTTACGGTATGTTTTTCTGGAACACCATGTATATCTAATTCATGCAAATGAAATTTTTGTACCTAATTCCTCCTTTCTCCAAATTATTATTGCAGAAAAAATCCTAACGAAAAATTAACACGAACCAATAAAATCTTCCATCGTAAACAAGTTTGAATAAACATTGCTGCCTTGTGTGGTGGAAGGAGCACTATATTATTATTATTTCAAATACGTTTTATTCAGGAACAGGCCCATTTCATGTACAATTAGAGAAGCTAACATCACGGTAAACAAATTAAATAAAATTTTCTAAGTAGTTGTAATCAACCATGATGGGAACATTTACTGTACAAGATAAGTGTTTTAAATGTCACGATAAATGAGCACATATTCCATATCTTTTCAGAAATAAAAAAAGTTCAGTATATACATTTTTTTTAAATATGTTAAAAAGAAGCGAGGCACACAAAACACAACTATCCTGTACAGAAAAGAAAAATAGAGGCTTCGAAAAACACCTTTTATAAATTACGACATATTTTTACAAAAAGCGAAGTGTAACTCTGCTAAAAGTAACACCTTCCCTATATACTGACCACCCCCATTATTACACCTCGCTTTGATAAAAAACACCTAAAATAAAAAACAAGAAAGAACATATAGTAGGTAACCTACGAATTATTTGATCTGTTACATGTTATAAATAACAATTAAAGCTATAGTGTAGGTACTATCGGTACTAAATGTTTAATAAAAATATACAATTCTAGCTCCGCACTATACAAGTTTTATTACGGACACGACCCGTCCCTTCCTACCTTACCGTCTGCCGCCGTCTAACGCGGCGCTGAGATTCTATTGGGAGGCTTCACGCCCGTCTATAAGTCTTCGGCGGCACCGGTGGTGTGGACGCCATTCCTCACCTTGTCCAGAACCTTATTGACATATTCCGTAGTGTGACCGGCTATCTTAACTACTAGAACAAAGGAACTGGTCAACAAATGTTTCCAGAACCAAAGGAGAAGGGTCAATTAGGTCGGTTTTGGAGAAAAAAAGAAAAAAAACACTTATTTATATCCAATAACCAATCGATTCCACCCCAAATGGGACATCCCCCTCCTTCCTAGTCAAGATCAAGGTCAATTAGAGGTCAGATTAAGAAAAAGAAGGATCTGGAAGTTTAGGTTTTTTGGGTCGCTGAGTCGGAGGTTAGTTTGTCTGTATCAGGCCATTTTAAAGTTGTTTCAAGGTCATTTCAAGATCAAATTGAGAAAAAGCCGAGCAATCAAGTCCAACCCTGTTATACAGGATTTTGGAGTCGCTAGGTTAGAATCCGAGGTTAGTTTGTCTATATCAGGTCATTTAAAGGTCGCCTCAAGGTCATTTCAAGGTCAAATTGAAAAAAAACGAATACTTAAGTCTAACTGCCTGTTATATAGGTTTTTGGTATAGCTGAGTTCGCATCTGAGATCAGTTTGTCTGCATCAGGTCATTTGAGGGTTATTTCAAGGTCAAACCAAGAAAAAACTGATTACTGTTTTTCAAGTCCGAGTTTGAATCCAAGGTCCAATTATATAACAATTTAGTCCTCCACTACTTGATTTGTGCCAATTAGTTGAATGTGAACCGAAGGTAAAGATTGGCCAAGTTTTAGGTCAAGAGATCACTGATGTGGAACCCAAGCGAAATCTTACAACCTTTGTACAGGCCATTTTTGTGTCAAATGAGTAGTTTCTGAAATAAAATATCTGCTCATTTGCTCCTTCAGTGAACTTGCCTAAACCTTGCATGTAGCTCTGTGTAAACTCAAATGATTTTAAAAACCTATTTTTAATATCAACAATTTTAGATTCAGACAAAAACAGAGGGGTCTGAAATCGTCTCTCACTGACCCTACTAGAAGTACGTTTTCTCAAATCAACCTTGGAATAACCTTGAACCTTTAGTAATACATATAAATGAACCTCGGATTCAGATTCAGCGACTGTAAGAACGGTAATTGATTCCAGGGTTTATTCCATAAATCAACTTTTAGATGACCTTAAAATGGCCTTCAAACGACCCGACACAGATAAACTGACCTCAGATTTGAACTCGGCAACTCCAAATACGTGAACAACAGGCGGTTAGACTACACTTGACTTTGAAATGATCTTGAGGCGACCTTCAAATAACCCGATACAGAAAAACTGACCTCGAATTCGAACTCATCGACCCCAAAATTCTGTATAACATGAAGTCGGACTTGATTGCTCGGCTTTTTCTCAATTTGACCTTGAAATGACCTTGACACAACCTTAAAATGGCCTGTATCAAGACTAACAAAACTAACCTCCGATTCGGACTCAGCCACCCAAAAAACCTAAACTCCGAGATCCTTTGACTTAATGCACTTTTTCTCAATCCGACCTCTAATTAACCTTGATTCTGACTAGGAAGGAGGAAGGAGGTCCCGTTTGGGGTGGAATCGATTAGTCATTGGGTATAAATAATAAAATTTGGAACAAAAATGAATTTACCCTCCCCCTTTGTCACTTGTTATTAATTCCAAAAATTGTGTTTGATTCCCAACATTTTCACAAATAATTTAGTCTCTACGTTAAAACTTTTTATATTTCCCACAACTTTCAAATACTTTCTTTTATACTTTTACAGTATAATGATTAATTTGTTCTATTTACTTATTTAATTTTTGGTATTATTTACTACATATATACTACATATATATTTGAAATGAAAGCAGAAACTTACTGGTACAGTTTTTATAAATCTTATCCAAATTCATCGACAGCTCTTCCTGTCTATCGGGAGCCTGTTCTGATAATTTTGCTGCCAGAATTTGTTTAGCCTGATAAATACCATTAATAAGGCGTTCTAAAAAATAAATTTATAACATAAATCGAACTGCATACTGAAATTAATCTTTTTTTTTCTGTATTTTTCTACATTAAGTACTAGGCATATCCAGAAAGTAAGCGTACTGAGACTCTGATGCTCTAAGGTTTGTGTTTTCGACCCAGTTGACAACACTCCATTCAAAGCCAAGGTGTTGGGAGCAGAAGGTGCACTCATTTGTGTCAGCCTGTTGAGAACTGTTGTTGTAGTGGCATGTTGAAATGAGTGTCGCTGTTCCCAATCCCACCAGCTGCGATGTGAGGAGCGTAATCAGGTTTCTTCTTGCAAAGGGAAAGGTGACATTCCAGATTTTTAAGGAAGTTTATGGGAATGGTGTGATGAATCGTACTAACGTGTACAAGTGGTGTTGAAGGTATAAATCTGGCAGAAAATGAATATTCATGACGAATATGGAGGGCGATACAGAATAAAAGAAGGGGAATGTTAACAAAGGGAGTGTGCTTATTGCAATGCATGTCCCCACAAAGCAACTCTTGGATTTATTCGATTGGAACATCATCAACCACCCTGGTCACAGCCCTGACCTGGCACCTTCTGATCTTCATCTTTTCTTTTCACTCAAGGTGTTTATGGGTGGAAATGGATTTTCTACTAATGATGAGGTCCACAGTGCCGTGAATCAATGGGCTCGAGAGGTGACAGAAGATTTTTTGGACGAAGGTATCAGAAAGCTCATCCTATGGCTCACTAAGTGTTTTGATGTTGAAAGCGACTACATCAAAAAATAATGCTTTCTGAATATGTAAATTTTTCATAAATATACTGCCGTTTCAATGTTTAAAACATTGAGTACTTTTACTTTGTGGATATGTCTCGTATAATAAAAGGCAACAGCATTTCTATTTATGAACATTTTTCTTTGTGCAATGAAGTATTGTAATCACTCTTTTGCATCAATTTGACATTTTTTAAATTTTTGAAATTTACATAAAATTTAGACAAATTTATATGTGCAAAAGAAAAATTTATCCGACAACCAAAAAATGGCTAAAAAAGAAAAACACCTTATATCACTTAAACGATTCAAAATATTGAGATGCAATTACTGGTGTTATATTTTTCTTAAAAATCAAGCCCAAATCACAATTACTTTTTGTCTGCCTTGAGAGATACAAAACACTCCCATGTGTCACACACTGTATATGGGGCATTCCATGCCAAATCGACCACTTTAAACCCTGACCCCTTTCAATTTGGCTGAAACTTTTTTATTGTTTTCTACCCCATTGAAAACCTCCGAGAATTTTTTCACCCAACTCAAAAAAAGTTATGAATTTTAAAAAAATAGCTTTTTTTTAAATAACCATAACTTTTTCAAAAATTGAGATGTTTTTTCCAAAATTTCTGTTTTTAAATGTCCTTTTTGAAAAAAAAATAGATCAAAATTATCTGGACCTATCTTGTTTTTTTTTTAATTTTCGAAAAAAGTTGAAAATTTCTCGATTACCATTTTGAATTTTTTTTATTTTATTAAAAACGATATATTTTTTCTTAATTTTTTCATGTTTATCACTCAATTATGTCTTTCATATATTTTTTTTTCAATTTTGGGATTCTGTATACATTTTCAAAAATTTTCAGTTAAAATTTTCAATCAATAAAAAAAATAGAAAATGAAAAACACCACTGAGAAAATTTTTGGATTTATAAATGTCAACAGTATTTTATAAAAAAAAAAAAATCAAAAATTGAAAAAAAAACAGTGAAGATAGGTCCAGGTAATTTTGATCAACTTTTTTTCAAAAAGTACATTTAAAAACAAAAATTTTGAAAAAAAACCTCAACTCAATTTTTGAAAAAGTTATGATTATTTTAAATAAAAAAGCTATTTTTTTCAAAAATTCATCTTTTTTCGAGTTGGGTGAAAAAATTTGAAAAAATTCTCGGAGGTTTTCAATGGGGTAGAAAACAATAAAAAAGTTTCAGCCAAGTTGAAAGAGGCCGGGGTTAAAAGTGGTCGATTTGGCGAGGAATGCCCCGTATGTAATTCCCACCAATATTGAAATAAAGGAACAGTGAACTTAAATTTTCTTGAAGGTTTAAAAGATTTTACAAAAACTTACTGTGTTCAGACTCCAAGCCACTCAATTTGATCTTATTAGCCTCGTGCTGAGCTTTCTTTTTCAGCCTGCAAGCCCTAGAAGCCAGCTTGTTCTTTTCTTTCCTGGAAGTGGGACGCACATTGAAAGGCAGCTCGCTCACTGGCGTCATATCGTTTATGATTCTACCCAACTTGTCCAATTCCTTCCCTATATTGAAAAGTTTCCTCGCATTTGGAGTCAAATCATTCCCATCACCTAAAAAAAAGCTCAGCGTAATCGAACTCATGTAGAAGTATGTACCGTTACCTTTTCTAGCCTTTCCGCTATGCTTAATCCCTCTAACGGAGCAATCGGGGCTGAACACCGGGTCGGTTATCTCGTTGAGATAGTGCGGGTCTTCCATTTTACACTTCATCACTAAGCGTTGCCCTTTGGGTCCCTTAGCTTGAACGTTGTACTGCCAGAAATAACGTTCCTTCTTGCTTGCCGACTTGCCCCCATGTTCATCGTCGTCATCCGAGTCAGCTAAGTTAAATCAGTAATACTTAAACTTTTTTTCAAAATAACCAAAACGCTTACCGTTATCAGAGGAGAAATCTTCATAGTGCCCATCGCTATCTTCATCGCTTTCATCATCGTGAGAAAAGTCCGGCGGGTCAGGGCTCAGTATGCCACCCGTAGATAGCGAAGAGGTAGATCCCGCTTCTGCCTGCGAACTTGTTGATAAGAGGTGTTTCCTTGGTTCGCGTCGCTGCCATATTTGTTCCAGCCCCAGGTGTGTCGGCGCAGAGGAAGATAACCTAAATAGGAATAATGATAAATTTCCAATATAGGGGGTGTAACTTTATGTAGGTATCAGTTTTTTTAAGGATAATAGTGTGTTCCCCAGATTACTAATCTGAAATAATTATTATTTTTTAATGAAATAGACTAGTTTATACATAATTTGTTTTTTAAACTGGACTTAAACAATTGTCTACGCCGTTACTGAGCAGCTCCCGAACTTGATTGTATGTGCGTACCCATCGTTGTTGCCTGTCACTTTTTAAACAACTGTATAAAATTAATGAAGGAAAAAAACAAATTAAATCCAAATTTTCAGTTTAACGACTTCAAAACAAGAACAGAATGGACCTTATTTCTCTTATGACAATCAAGATCCCTATGATGTGGTTCCAAGTGGGAACCCAGGTTTTCACAAATAATTATGTTTCACGTACCTAGAATTATGGCCCCGGGGTATCCTGATGCTCTGAGTTGGCAAGCTCGTGTTCCTGCCGGGAACGGATTGCCCTAGAATCGATCGATCTGGCGATACATAGTTCTCCCCTTTCATCAACAGCTCGTGTAAGGTGCTGTGCTTCTGCTGCAAGTTACTGACGTGTATGGGAGAGGATGTCTGAATAATTGATGAACTTGAACTGTTTTGACTGCCTGGAGACAGAGCGGACACTGGCGTCTTCGAATTGTAGTGATCGAAGTTACCTTTACCGAAAATTAATTTACTGGTATTACGAATTCTTTCAAGAAATAATTGATAAGTCATTCTGCAGAATCAACTGTGGTAAATGAGCAAAAAAAATAGAATTTACCTGTTGGAACACTAGAAGGCAAGTCCAATTCCTTGTAATACAACATTCCTTGGGGTGGGCAAGATGACGCTGACGTAACTGGGTTATTATTCATATGATTTGTATTCGTGTGACCATACGTATTTTTACCTAAGGTTATGTATGTACTCTCTTCGGGGAGTAACAAATCGTCAAAGTTCAAATCACCTACAAGACACGGGATTCAATACAATTCGTCGAAATAATTTACTCGGCATCCATATATATGACATTCCGAAGCCCATCAACACAGTAAGCACAAAATGAACAAAGGTCAAATACTACAAAAAAAACTTTAACTTCCTCAAAATTGCAAATCTTAAGCCCGCTATTTTATTTCAAACACTAATTTTTGGCAGATTGTATTCATTTTATTTTTTCTGAATTAATGTCCAAAAAATGGCACTTTTGCAAAAACAATAGTGATATAATTAGCTTGCACAAATAGTCTTTATCTAATAATTGAAAAAAAAAATGCATTAGAGGAAATCAAAGAATATAATCACTATTAGATCTCGGATAAAAAACTTTTTACTCACTGTGTTAATGGTCTAAACATTTATACATTTTAACACTCTGTATTTTTTCGAAACTACGGTAATATTCCACCTTGTCATTAAAAATGTGTTAAACGTTAATGTCAACAATTGTTATTTTATTAACATCTTTTAGATAAAAGTTATTAATTTTTATGATAGATTTTACAGTTTCAATATGTCCTATTTGTAATAAAAAAATAGTAAATATCGAAGTTTCTACACGGTTCAAGTGCCATAACCGACTGCTCTCATGATTTGAACAGAGAAAGTACTTATTATTTTGCCTCAAAATGGTGGCACAAAATACCCAACAATCAGAATTAGTATATAACCTCAATATTGAAACAAAACCTTTCAGCTCATGTATTGAGGTTAGGACAAAAATGGTTAGGTTATGGTTGCACTGTATATAAAAGCATTGTTTACAATTTAATTACACAGGGTGATTCCCAAGTCGAGTCAGATCTTGTATAGTGTGTAAAACTGTATAACTACAGATTTTTATGTTTATACTTCCTCATGTATGATGACATAATTACTGTAATTTACTGTGTATAATTCTGCTATTATTTGCAACATTTACTTAATGAACTGCATTTGAAAAGACACACTTGTCTTCCTCTTCTAGGTAACAGTTTTGAAATTATTTATTGGCTTAATTTGTGCTTTAAATATTTAAAATATTGTGAACTAACGTAAAACATTTTGTTTTATAAAAAAAGCAAAGGGAAGAGACCCAAATAGCAAAGAAGAAGACGAAGGTACGGTAAAGGACAGTGTATTACATTTTTTATGCTATATAATGTAAACGTGATTTGAATACAATAAAGAACTATAACATAAAGATCATGAGTTTAAAAAAGTCCATTTAGCGATGCAAGAAATTACGACATTGCAGTTCAACTGGGTTTAAATACAAAACAGCTTGAAGTACAGTACTGACCCTCTTAAGGAGTTTGGTAGATGTCAAACTAAAGCGCCATCTAGCAGACTTCCAGTATACTATTGGTACGTTCAACTGTTTTAATGTCAGAATGTTACGAACTAATACAGACCTTATAAAATATCCATTCACAAAATTAATACCGTCGTTTCATCACAGTTTAAATTCAATGATATACTGAATATTGATTATGATATAAGAATCTAAAACTACAAAGAAAAGAAACAGTGATTACCATATCTTTTACCTAATAAAGTCTCATCGTTGGCATTCAACTCAGCCAGAGTAGGCCCCTGAATCAAATCGGCTTTGTCTACTTGGAAAATATCATCATCGTCCATGTGTATGAGAGCTTCAGACTTCAGCATCTCGTCAGTATCTATTATCCTATTATGTCCCCAGTAAATATTACCACCATAAATGTCGGTGGTCTGTATCTGGCCCGTGAGGCCAACGTCGGCGTATAAAGGGGACTGAGAATTTTCTAGGTCAATGCCGAAGTCTCGGTAGTCCCCGGCCTCCCGTTTTGAGGGAATAGGGACACTAGCCGAAGTGTTTATCATGGTGGTATCGTTCAGGGGCTCTTGCTTTATCGTGATGCCTGAATCTAAGAAGAAGTCTCTACTGAAATCGCTCATTTTTGGAGGTTCAGAAACTGAAAAAATTCAAATAGTTGAAAATAGGTATTATAAAATTGGAAAGAGTACAAAAAATATTACAGGATAGAAAAAAATGTGGTGTCGATTTTCTCTTGTTGAAAGTTGTAGTATAATACAAATATTTTAAACCACCAGAATGCTAATTAATGAACAATAACGATACGAAATATAAATTGAAAGCTAAATTCGTATTGATGAAATATCTAGCGGCAATGATTTAAAATAAGTAAAAAGTTACCTGTCAGTTTTGTTGCTTATTTATTAAAAGTATATTTCGCAAACTATGTTAGAAATGTTCATTATATATCTACTACTGTGCAAAAGAACACATTCGATAAATCCACAAAGTGAAAAAATATGTTATCAATGTGGTAATGAAATATCATCAAATTTGCACCAAACAAGTGGCGGAATTTTAAAATTATCACAAAGCATGGTGAATACTAAATCACCTTTATCATCTACAGAATGACAGGCATTACATCTTAAAGATGCTTAACAGAAACTCCAATTTTGTCAATGGATTTTGCAACATCTGCAAGATTATTTCTGTTCAAGGGTTCTATGGTCTGATGAAACTATTTTATCAGAGATGACATTGATAAGTATAATGATTTTAATAATCATATTTGTTCGTTCGCCATATCGCAAAATTTTCAACATAGATTCACTGATTTTAAATATGCTTAAAGTGACAATTCACTCAGCACTGAAATTACATGGGTTTAGGTCTGGACATTTTGGTGGCCACATTTGTTCCTTATGTTGTTAATGTTAATGTTGCTTAAAACTGTCATGGGCTGTACCATGACCTAAACCCATGTAATTTTTATTTGTGGGTCGACTTGTATATGAAGTAGAAATAACTAATTGAAATGAATTAGTGGAAAAACTGACTTACAGCTATATAACTTTATTTTTCTAGAAATTATTGCTATGTAGGTAGGTACCTTCTTTTGCTAATTGTAATAAGGCTAGAGAATCGCACAGTATTGGTCAAACAAATTAAAACAATTCTAATGTGAACCAAAATATTCATTTAAGGAAATCATTAAACACAAACATAAATATAATAAATATTACAATTTTATTGAACGAAAATACTATTTTAAAGAATTCTTCAAATTCAAATTGGTGTCTATACATACTTTAAATTTATGTTCTACACCTGATAAGTAAAATCTTAATCTTAATACATACTCAACCTTGCTTGACAAGTACTGTCTGTTTAGATTATGAGTTTATCTAACTAGAATGATAATGCTAATTTTTTTAACATTATTGCACCATATAATATTCAATGCAAATGCTTCTATACACAATCTAATACTGTTGACTGTACAAAGAATAAGGTTATGCCATATTTTATCTAATACTAATGTAAACATTGAAAACACCAGTTTAAATTTACAGATAAACTTGTACACATAACGGCTGTGTTTACGCTTAAAATATATTTTATTGAAATGTCAGATATGGGCTGACCAGAGTACAAATCTGTGGCCTAGGCGATAAGACGGTAGTAAATAATAGTTGAAAACTTCATTCATGAAAGCATAGCCTCTGGTAAAGGCATATAACTTTTTTGGGATCAAAGGCACATGATACAAGCATGTACATAAAAGGATGCAAGCTATTTTGTTTGCTGGAGTTTTGAGTTTGGTTTATAAGTACCCAGCTGTAAGCATCAGTGTTGGGGCCAGTGAAAACTGAAGCGGTCATGTTTTGATACCATTTTTTTGGGGATCATTTCTATACCCACAAAGAGAACTTTCATGACGTAAAAGTTCTGGAAGTTGCGAAATAAACAAGGTAATCAGGGGTTGCCAAGCCTGGGATCTCACATATATTTGCAAAATACATTTTTCGTAATCAACTAATAAATACAATTTCATTTTATTCATCTCAAAATGTTCATTTTTCATAACGTTACGATGCTATGAAGTTTCAAAAACAGAAAATTGGTAGGTATCAAATTAAAGTTGACAGGTATGAAATCAAAAAAAAAAGTCTATCAGTTGATTACGTATACCTACCAAATTTGCATGAATTATGTAACCCTTTTCAAGATGTCCAGGTCAACACGGCCCTTATTTAAATTTCTTATTTCACAAGTTCCATTCGAAATTTTTTCATCATGAAACTCATGAAAGTTCACTACGTGAGTACAGAAATCATTCTTCCGCATTCTTCTCTAAAAATAACGGTATAGATTTCATGCTTCATTATCAAAATGTAACCACTTTAATTTTCACCATCCCCCACTGACAAACACTTAAATTTTATTCGAGACAAACATAATCTTAAAAAGAACAAACAACTTTATGTTTTGTTATGTTTCTTATAGATAATTATGAAAAGGTGTTTTTGTAGATCAAATTAAACTGGTATGAACTTTATGGTTACAAAAATTGCATTAAATTCCAAATGATAAATAAATGCAACTGTCCTTTTAAATATGGATCTAACCTCAATCTCAAATGAATAATTTACAGAATCCTGTTTTAATATTGATTTGGTGATTCACCAACCTAGAACGAAATTAGAATCTAGAAATCTACACATTCCAAAGTATTCTAGATATCTAGAGATATAGAATTATGAATAGAAAAATATCTCCTTTCTCTTGTTTACATTAGTATAAACAAGGATAGGTGATTACCATTCATAACATGTTTATGTAGAACAAAATTCAAGTAGAGAAAATATCTAAGAAATTTTATAATAATGCACACGGTGTTAAAAAAAATCATACCAAGTTATGTCTTTTGAAAGAACAATAAAGATTCAGTATAATAAAGCTCTAGTTTAAATTATGTAACTATTTCCAGGCCTTTACTTAATTATATTCTGGTCATCTAATCATAAGTTTTTAATTATTAGACATCATTAGCTTACGTTTTGTTTTTTTTAATAAGTATAAACAAGGTGTTTAAATTACAAAAATAAGTTTTTATTGGTACATATAGGTAAGCCTTTTACACACGTTCTTACACATCTTAAATATTCAAATTCAGATTTACATAAATATATTATAATAAACGTTAAAATAAATTAGATAACTATCACCACAGAAGATCCTAAGGATATTCTGTGCTATCACTATTAATGCTAGCTGGGAAGCCCCATGAAACCTAACTATTAAATTCAACTGAACTAATTTTTTACAAATGTGTTAGGTATTTATAAAATACCAGCACGTGTGAAAGTCGTGTTTTTTTTCTGTAACAATAAGTACCTCCTAGTCTTATCCCTATCTGTCGCTCAATTAAGTGAATTAATTTATGATTCGAATCAATACTCTCACGGACGTGGAAAACGTAAACAACAGAATGTAAACAAATAACCCCACAGACAAAACACGATCGAACACACGCTAGATTATACTTACATATTTAAATAGTTCTCTATATGACGTTACAAAAATATCCACACTTAAAGAGTTTGTCACATACCAACTAAATATATTTATAATTTCCCACGATATTGATACACCTAAATTATATCCACCATGCTTTTACACACCACCATGACTCGGCATTGTTGGCCAAGCGTTTAAACGCCACGAGAGAAACAATCAGTCACTTGTTCCGATTTCACCACTTTTCACAATTTTGCAAATACTCACTGAACGAGGGAAGTTTTTGTTTTACACAGCACACTAAAATATGTAAAAAATATTGAGGCTCCCAAAGGTCACATGGACATACATAATCAATTTTTTAAACCAATCACAGCAAAGTATCTCACAACGCGACCAGTCACATTGCGATTTCGGAGTGGTACAGGCCTTTCAGGAATTTTGCAACGTCAACACACGGGCCTCACAATGAAAATTAGAAGATAAATAAAGGAAATTTTTGTATAAGTTACACACTTGGTGTACTTATTATAAATATGTTTTTACTTTTCTGTGGACCTGGCACACTCTATTGAAAACACTTCCGATTTTGTCTGACGTCAAAACACTCTTTGTAGCGTCAGATAATAAACGTCCTTCACTTTGCACAAACATTTACACGTGACGGACTTTTATATTTATATAAATAATAAATAATGCGAAAATGTATCGCAATTCCGCGTCATCTATTCGGCTGTCGTGTAAACCCACAGCTGTAAAAAAAATACAGACTTTAAACTTACAGAATTCTGTATTATCAGACACGTATGTTTCATAATTGAATAGTGAGTTTGTAGATGGCGCTGTATGGAATATTCGATGGCGTTACATTGGTTTCAATCGTAGAAAATGTTTCAATTCACAGACTTCTAATATAAAATAGACTACGTAAGTCATTCATAAATAGCTCTTGTTTACTTGATAGCTTTACTTGATGGTGAAGGAAAGGGAATCAAGGGAGAGGAAGGGATAATATTGTCGAAGAATGCTCCACATATTTTAATTTTAAATTAACCATAGGCGCATCATATAATTTATGTAGCAACTAGCAATAAAAAATTCTTAGTTTATACTTGCTTTACTCAGTAATTTTCATCGTTTATTTTTTTCAGTTAATACTTGTACAGATCTTGACACAATTATTGCAATTAATTTCGGAAGATAAAATAAAACGGTAGATATTTACATGTTTTTTGTGCAAACAAGCTTTCTGGAGACGCGGACGCTAATGATCTATTAATATAAAATTTCTTGAAAAGAAATGTGTAAGCACTTGTCTGATGGCTATACATTTTATAGACACAACTATGTCTTACACTATGATTTATATTATAACATAAATATAAGTAAAATACAGTGTAACATGCACAAATATGTAATACCTACTATAAAAATGACACTTCACTTCCAATACCACTACAACCATGGGCGTAGCTACAAATCTAGCTTGGGGTCGGCCTAGTGCTGCAAGTTCTGTGGGGACCTCTAAAAAATAAAAAAGTCACACAGTCACCGAACTACCAATATGACAAAGATGACAATATTAGATCTTTTTTTCTGGGGTGGTCGAAACTATGTTGCCAAATGTGTCTATATACAGGGCTGGAAAATCCACATGGTCCATCTGCCTTTACATGAGAGCGACAAAGTAAAGTAAAGAAACACGTGCGATAGACAAGGATGGCTATAGTAAAGACGTTTCATAATCTGAATAGTCACGGCCCGTTTCGGGTTAGAAGTGGGAGTAACTATTCAGATTATGAAACGTCTTCAATGTAACCATCCTTGTTTATCGCACGGACTTCTATAACTTACTTTATCGCTCTCACGTAACGGCCGATGTACCATGGGGACTTTCCGAACCTGTATTTAGAAGTCTGTGTTTCAATTGCAGTGGCTTACAGCGTTAATAAGTAATGTAAGTTGATTGAATTATTTTAAAAAATAAATAACTGTTTACAATATACACTAGACACAGAAATTAAGGGACATTAAAGAAATCCCTAAATTTTGGTTGATTTTGGAATAGCTGTAACTTGGAGGAAAATGGTCGTAGAGAGAATAAAAAAAAAGGAAATTGAAGCTTCAAGTGTCTAGTCTTCGGATCTGGAGTTTAAAATTTTTTAGCTTCAGCCGTTTTTGAGTTGATCATAAGAAAATCAAGGAAAACAAATTGCAAAATTTTGTTTTTCTAGGCCTATGAACTTAATATTTTTTTTTTTTTTGGTAACCGCCATAAAGCTCTTAAATAATTTAATTATCTTCAATCTGAGCGGTTCCGGAGCCTTATACAATTTGTCACTGATAAAAAAAATTTTTTCGAAGTGAAAATATTGGTCAGAAAAAAGGTAAAAAATTGCATAATTAGGGATATTTGAATATTTGGCATAACTTTGCAAATAATGAATAAACTAAGGATATTGACTAACTTTTCAACCTCAAAGTGTCCTAAAGAAACCCTAATAATATCAAAACGCTGCGATTTTTTTTCTTGGTGCCCAGAATGTTTAAATTTGTCGTTTTTTATGAAAATTAATGTAATTTTTCACTTTTTATTCAATTTTTTAGTTAAAGTTAAAAATGTTTTTTTAACAATAATCCATATTTTCTTAATCAAAAACCAATAATTACTACTTGTAGAGAATACTTTGCAGTTTTCAAAACCTGTTTGGATTTTCTGTACGACCATTATTTCCCGAATAATTGATTGCCAAAGTCAAAAATTATATTTTTGCTTTGATCGACAAGTCAGCGACAAGTCATCGTACAAGGCTCCGGAACCGCTCAAATATAATAGAATTAAATTATCTAAAAGGGCTTTATGGTGAAGTTACCAAAAAAAAATTATTGAAGTCCATAGGCATTTTTAAAAAAAAGCAAAAATTTGCCATTTTTTTTTTTCGTTGATTTTCTTATGACTCAAAAACTGCTGACGCTAAAAAATTTTAAACTCCAGATCCAAAAACTAGACACTTGAAGATTCAATTTCCTTTATTCTCTCTGCGTCCATTACCCTCCAAGTTACAGCTCTTTGAAAATCACTCAAAATTTTGAGATTTTTTGAATATGCCTTAATTTTTGTGCCTAGTGTAATTTCAGTTTTTTTTTAAATATATACTTTTTCATAATCGAGGGAGTAGGTACTGTTTCCTTTTTATTACTATGACACTCTCATAAAATATGTTTGTATGGGACAATTATAAGATATTTCTTATCTTATGTATGTAGCGGCCTTCGCTACATTATTTCTTGAACGATCCAGATGGTAATCCACGGCTTGCTGCGATTTTAGATAATAATCACAAAGAATTTTTTAATAAGAAATCTAGCTACATTACCTTAATCAGCATCACTTATCCCACATCAGATTTCATTTTGTAACGCAGGATAATAACAGATTTAATTAATTTTAATAAATTTTTATTTACTATAAAAAAAAGTATGTCGATGGTATTTTGTATGACATAAACTTCACACTTTTTTCACTATTAAAAAATCAATATCTATACAGACTTTTGAATGTAGTTGGACAAAATTCACAATAGGTGTTAACCTTTAGAAGAAAATTTAGTGAAGTTTAATTAGACTAAAGTACTCCTAAATACTTCTTTGGAACGATGATTTTACCGTTTACCAGTTTTAAGGTAAATACATGTATGAAGTGATGATCTTAATATTTCTCAATGACCCTACAACAGGGGTGCTCAGACTTGTACTATCGGGGATCTACCGCAAATAAAATGAGTGGCAAACGATCAGCACCAAAAAGTAAGGGGGGGGGGGAGAATAGAACTGTAACATAGCAGGTGATATGGGCATGTCGCTGTCGTTATTTGGTTACAGAATTTGAATTCTACCTACTAGGTACAGAAAACTGCAATGTAACTAAAATTCTTTATTGCGCATACAAATTATACATCGCTATCTACTAGTAATGATAATTATATGTCGCTAAGAAGTATTGACATCTTTGGATGCCGATTGCATGTCGTCAACGTACATTTCATAAGATGGCACAGAATTGCTGATTGACAATCGCAAACTCGATGACAAATGCTCATCAGTAAACCAACTGCGATATTTGGATTTATTAATTTTCATTTCAGAAAACGCAGATTCGCATAGATAAGTTGATCCAAACAATCCGGTCATTTGAAGCTCTTGCTTTGAGATGTATATCTGAAATCATCTGTAATACCTCATTTTCCACAAAAGACAAGTCTTGCTTGAAGGTGTTTGATATTTCAGTAGCACATTTTTCAACGTCATCACAAGAAAACGGATAAAAAAATATAGAAAAAAAATAAATAAAAGACCGTTCGAGGTACTCCTAACGACCTCCATGTTTCAGGTAGAAAATAATATTCAGTTACCCCAAAAATTCGCCCATATCAGATTTCATTGAATATTTAAAACTAGCAAAGTTATCTTAAAAGCACAGTGGGAGACTGTTTAGGCGTTTCTATGAATTTTTTTTATTGAGATATTATTGTATCAATATTTTTAACATTTACAACTTTTTTGTGGAGGACGCAGTTTTGATCTGAAAGCAGAATTGTTGTTTTCTTGCATTATTAACAGGTTTTCTAAAAATATAAAAATTGTGAAAATTGAAGTTTTGACAAGGGTTTGAAAAAAAATTGTATCAATTTTGTTGTTCTTTGTAATTTCATAAAGAAACACACGTTCAACTTTCATAACGATCGCTTCATAACTTTTTGAGCTTGAATTCCCGTGAATCAAAAAACTGTCGCTTCAAAAAAACGGGTTTGAAGATTTCCGAAAACTAGAAATTTGAGAAAGTTATAAGAGTACTTTCCGACCAATCATCGATACCAGCACCATATAACAGTCCGTCTTCTTCCTCATATATGTAGGTATCTTTCTGAGCTTGCATCTGTTCTTCTCTTGTTTAAAAAGTCTACCTGATCAAGCGCCCTATCATACCTGCTATGCGCCCGAGCTGACCCGATGGCCATTCGGTTTTAGGTTCATAAAATCGGAACGAATAGAAATTTCGTTTGGAAATTTTGGCAGCCTATTCTTGAATAGTTATATGTACTAACAATTTACACAATAAAACAAATCCGATTTTTTGAACCTCCTAATGTGGTTTCCCGCTTAAAGGAGCAAAATTATATTAAAGGAACTTTATCTAAATTGGCTTGTCTCTACCCAAGGAAGCTTCCCTCGAAGTATGGCTTATTCGCCTTCGGACACCCTATATGTATACGTATATCATTCTTGCATAAACAGCTAGCTTTAACCGTCAATAAATATACCAAAATCAAAATGCTAACTGCTACTCGCTAATGTAAATCCTTCGATATTTTATTAATACATTTACCTCCCCATGAAATTGGATTGAATTCGCTTTATAGATTTTATCTAAATATGAATAATTCAAAATACATGTCTGCAATTAAATTATCAGTGCGCAGTTCTGTGGAGGAAATCTTCCATTTTCCTGTTGAAACGCATGGCCACGTCATGATGCAGCTACGGCTCGGTTGGCCCCACGTGAAGCGTAATGCAATCGATACAAGTTGCTGTCGTAGGTGCCGTGTTTTAAATAAAATTTGTTGCAATATCGACTGGGGAAAGAACT